ACAAAAATGAAGGTCACCATTTATTGATTGAACCCTATCTTGGTTCAAGTAGTTAGCTATAAGAGGAAGTTAAAGAATTCTAAAGATTCTCATACAGGTATTGTGAGCTTTTCTGTTAAATTGGAAATTTTAAGATACCTTTGCAACAGTATTTTATTTTGTTAATGGAAGACTGTTGCAAATGGAACTTCCCATGTTTTACACATACATATATACACTTACTGAAATGTCATGCTCTGAAATGTCATGTAAAATTAAAATATTATTTCCTAATACCAAGACTTTATAATGAAAAAAAAATGGGTGGTGCAAAAGGAACACCAAAAATCATTTTAAAATATTACTTTAAAGAAAAACATTTTTTTATCTGGAACATAAAGAAGTATGCTGTAAATGCACTTGTATCAAGTTCAGAACTCACAAAAGATATGGATCAGCCTACACATAATTAAAAGATGAAAATGATTTAACATTCAGGCTGCTAAATGTCATTAGCAGATTTGAAATTTGACTTTATTTTTATTTTTTTGTCACAAGCAGTACTTAGCAACTATAAAAACTGGCAAATTCAACTTTCCCCAGAAATTACATTTGCTGTCCTTCAAAATAGAGCATGACTAGAGCTCCCTGGATCCCAAGACAATTCTATCAGTGGGAAAGAAAGCAGGGGAGTTCTCAAGAATTTTGCTGCCACCTTCTGGTTATCTAGCTTTCTACAGCCCAGGTTTGCCTATTCTCTTCTTCCCTTGTGAAAAAGAATGAGTAGCCAATGAATGACAGAAAATAGTACCAACAGACATGTTGGCTCTTGCCTCTATCCTCCCTCTTTCTTTTCACTCCAGATCCTAGTGAAAAGAGTCAGCACCCACCCTCCTAGAAGAATGAAATATTTTGAGGAATAAAAAGGCAGAATATTTTATTTCCCTAAGTGAGAAATGGAGAAACATGTTTTTTTAGAGGCAGGAAGTCTTTTTTAATAGCCCCAGCAGGTATTTTGTGCCCATTAAGAAAGATTGGGCCAGCCTATGCAGAAACCTGCCCCCAAACAGAAACTGAAGAGCTCAGCTGCACCCAAGAGGCCTACCAAAGAGCCCAGAGGCCCATTGAAGCGATGTGAGTGGAGAGGCAAAATGAACTGGTGAGAACAAGGAGGAGAGCTGGTGAGCGAGTGGGGCCCAGCTGTGGAGCAGGGAGGAAGATCATCCATGGTGCAGAGAGGAGAGCCAATTGAGGGCAAAGCAACAGCTGCAGAGAAGGAAAAGTTGAGCTGATGAGTGAGGAGCAGGGAGGAGGAGCACAAGCTGTGGGGAAAAAAAAAAAGAGGTGAGCTCACCATAGGTCATCCAGGTGGTCCTGTTTGTTGGGAGAAGCAGCGCAAATGGGAGCCACGTGGCTGGAGGGCCAGTAGTTGCAGATGGGAGAGCCAGCAGCGATGGGCAGCACAGCAAAGCGGACCCTGAGAGAAGCATGGAAAGCAACGGGAGAGCATTGGTACAACCAGAGGCAGTCGGTGTTAGTGAAGCATTTCAGCAAAGGGTATCAGTGAACCGGTGAGTGAGAAAAGTGTGAGAGACCAACGGGTGGTGGAGTGGGAAATGCCATGAACTGAGAAAAGCAGGGAGAGCTGAATATCTGGTCATGGCAGAAGAAAAGCAAGTAGGAAGGGAGGATAAAAAGACAACACAGGACACAAGGCAACAAAAATCAAAGGTGAATAGACAATAGCAGGTAAGGAATATGCAAAGGCAAAGAAGAAAGAGATAAATTAAATCCACAAGAATGCAAGGAGGGAACAGAACATAAGAAGAAAGGGAGGAAAGGGGTAATCAGAACATTTCATTACAGGCTAACAACGAACCTTGCACTTAAGCCCACTCAACACTGAAAGTTTAAAATTGTACAAACTAAATCAGTGGTTCCCAAAGTGGGTGGTACCGCCCCCTGGGGGGGTGGGATGCCTTGTGGGCACCGAGAGGCAAGAGGGCTGACAGGGGGCGTTAAGAGGCAGCAGGGGGGCGCTGGAGGTTAGTGGCAGGGCACAATTCAGGGAAGAGAAAAAGTCCCATCACTGCCGCGTTTGAGGCAAGGCCCCGCGGGATCATCCCATTGACTTGCACGCTCTGGTGCAAGGAGATCTGCCCCAAACGCAGCAGAAAGGAGAGCAAAGCCAGAGTGGCTTTGCTCTCCTTTTCAAACATCCCAATGCCACCGTGTTCCACCCCATTGAGCCCCTTGCACCGGAGGCACCTGCCCAAGCAAGTCCGAATGGAGCGGTGCACGAAGTCAGGGTGAGCCTGAGAGAGGGAGAGAGAAAGACAGAAGGAAGAAAAGAAAAAGAAAAGGGAAAGAAAGAAAAAGGGACAAAGAAAGAGGGGTGGTGGTGGAAGGAAGGGACAGAAAGATAAAGAAAGAAAAAGGGACAAAGAAAGGGGGGATGGAAAGAAAGGACAGAAAAAAAGAAATGAGGGAGGGAGGAGAAAGATAATGAGATATCTATTCTAGTCCAATCACCTGCTCCAGCAGGGTTAGAAGGGAGTTTGTGTGTGTGTGTGTGTGTGTTCTTGTAATTTACCAATACATTTTGGTTTTGCCTTCTTCAGAATTGGCACTGTAATACACTGGGGAAAAGTAATTTTTTAGGGTGGAGGTCTGGTCCAATGGATCCTGTTTAAAGCCTCAACAAAATGTGAGCGCTTCCTGATAGTCTTGGCCATGTTTCGTCCACAAACCTTTAATTAATAGAAGCCAAAGATGTTTCAATGTGCTGGCAAAGATACTGACAAAGATGTTTCAATGTGGAAAAGGGCCTCTAAACTAGGCTTCATTTCAATCTGATGCATCAGGTCTCTCTCTCTCTCCCCCTCTCTCCCCCTCCCCCTTCATCCCTCCATGCCCCCCTTTCTTTGTCCCCTTTTCTTTCTTTCCCTTTTCTCTTTCTGTTCTTTCTTCTCTCTTTCTCTCTTTTCTCTCTCTCTCTTTCCTTCTCCAGGCTCACCCCATTGATTTGGTGCACTGCTCCGCTTGGACTTGCTTGGGCAGGTCCCTCCAGTGCAGTGGGCTCAGTGGGATGGACCTGCGGGGCCGGCACCTAGAACGCGGCACTGCTGGCACGTTTGCAAAGTAGAGCAAAGCTAGAGGTCGGTAATTTTTGCTGCAAAAAATCACAAAAGCTTCTGGGTTGTGCACAAGTAGAACACATGTCAATGCAATTCAGCAACATAAAATAAAGAAATACAAATAAAACAAATCAACAAGAATTGGCAAAGCATCTCTGATTAGATTTTATTCACTACTAGAATCTAATCAGAGATGCTTTGCCGATTCTAGTCCAAGGACCTGCTCCAGCAGGGTTGGAAGGGAGTGTGTGTATATGTGTGTGCATGACTGTCAAAACTCCAAAAAGAGGTCAAGTAGGTCTGGGGAAGCCAGTCATAAATTAGAACACTTGCTAAGCAACTGGCCATTAAGTGAGGACCACTTGTATTTGGTTTGCCAGTCACCAAACCATGCTCACCCAGTCACGTGACCAGCAAGCCATTACTGAGAAGCAAAAAAAAAAAAAGAATTGATCAATAGACTAAATATCCAGATTATAAAGTGAAATACTTGGGGATCCAATTAACAGCAAGATGTGGGATACTTAAAGATAATTATTGTAGATTAAACAACAGATTAAGACAAACCTGGAAAAATGGGAAAAGTTTACAACTATCACTGATAGGAAGAATAGCAACGATTAAAATGAACATATTACCAAGAATATTATACTTATTACAAACAATTCCAATAAAATTGGGAAAATATTTTGATGATTTAAATAAGATAATATTGAAATACATATGGCAAGGGAAGAAAGCAAGGATTAAACTTAAACTGTTACAGGATACAAAAATGAGAGGAGGATTTGAGCTACCCAATTGGGACTTTTGTTATCAGGCCATGGTATTGATGTGGATGAAAGAATGGGTTGTATTAAGAAACACAAGTTTTTAACATTGGAGGGACATAATCTACAATTGGGCTGGTACGGTTTTTATGGCATAAGAAAAATAAGATACATGATTACTTTCAAAGACATTATGTTAGAGATGCTTTATTGTCAGTATGGGAAAAAATAAGGGAACAACAGTATATGAAAATACCAGTCTGGTTATCAATAATGGAGGCGTTTATCCAAATGTTTGTAAAATGGGACATATTTTTTAGATATAATGATGTTTTAAATGAAAGGGGTGAATTCAAAACAAAGCAAGAATTGAATGAATAAGGGATTGATATGAATTGGTACTCATATATGCAAATACATTCTAGATATGAAAAAGATGTTAAAACAGATAGGTTTTATAATGAATTGACTGAACTAGACAAAATTTTAATAGGAACGGAAGAAATGAACAGAAATGAGTAGATTAACATTGGCAATTAGAAAACAAGAAGAAATGGAGTATTATATAATTTGGGATTTATTTTATAAATGGTTGGAAAATAAAATAAGAAATTAAATAATATTGTTATAATGATATATAATGCTGAATGTAAACTTAGTAAGAAATGTATACAATATTAATATGTACATAAGATATATGTACCCAGTCGACACACTGTATAACTGAAAGATGGTTATTATTATTATTTGCCTAATCTGATTTAAAAGCACTTTGATGGTCAAGATAAAAAGCAGAGGCGACATTGGACATCCCTGCCTAACATCTTTCATAATCTTAAAGTTTTCAGTAATCTCCCCATTTATAATTACCCTAGCTCTTTGGTTCGAATAAATTGTGCCAATCATTTTCTTGAATTTAGATCCAAATCCCATATTTTTGACCTCTTGGATCAAGGACTGCCAGCTGAGATTGTCAAAGGCCTTCTGAGCATCCAAGAAAATCAATGCTGCCTGCTTTCCTGGGTAGGCCTCATGGTATTCTAATACATTTAATACTATCCTTATATTGTTCCTTATCTGTCTAGAAGGTAGAAACCATTCTGGTCAATATGAATAAGTTCAGTTAATATAATTTTTAGTCTTTTCAACATTATTGTTGCAAATATTTTATAGTCTACGTTCAGGAGTGAGATTGGTCTATAATTTTTAATCTGTTTGTGATCTAAATCTTCTTTAGAAACTAGTGAGATATTCGCTTCTCTCCATGAATCGGGTAATTTGGCAAAGTCTAATACCTCATTGAACACATCTAACATCACTGGTTCAAGACATTCATAAATACATTTATACAGTTCCACTGGAAGACCATCCAGGCCTGGCATCTTATTATCTTTCTGCCTTTCAACCGCCCTTTTCAATTTCATCACTGTTATTTCTTTATTTAATATCTCTTTCTGTTCCTGTCTAATTTCTGGGAGACCTTTCCTTTTCAAATATTGTTCTATATTCTCAGGATTTACTCCATCCTCCCTATATAGTTGTTCAAAATAGTTTTGTACTATTTTATTTTTTTCAGTCATTCGGTATTCTAATTTTCCATCATCATCCTCCAATTCTTGTATCAACCTTCTTTCTCTTATTCCTTTTTGCTGTATATGCTGTTACCCCCCCCTCAGCCTTTGATGTATCCCATGTATTCTGTAATGATGTTTGCTCCACTGTATTTTCCTTTTAAAAAGTTCCATTTCTTTCTTAATTTTCTCTACAAAATCTTTCTCCTTTAAAATTTGGGGATTAATTATCCACCTTCTACTCTTCCTTTTCCTTCCTTTCCAAATTATTTTTAATGAGTTATGATCAGCCCATACATTTGTCATAATCTCTACTGTATCTAGTTGGTTTCCTAGTTCTGCGTTCATCCACACCATGTCTAATCTAGACCACGATTTGTGTGGGTTAGAGTAGAACATGAATTCTTTTTTCCCCAAATTTATTCTCCTCCATTGATCTATCAAATTTAGTTCCTGTGTCATATTAAAAAAGGATCTGGGCAAAATTTTCCTTTTCTTTTTGTTCTTTGCAGTACGAAAGTAATCCTTCCTCATATCTACTACAGCATTAAGATCTCCCACAATGCATACATTATCTTGTCCCATCTCAACAATTCTCTCATGTAAATCCTTATAGAATTTACTTTGGTTGTCATTCGGTGCATAAACTGTAACTAATAACATTGGCTTGTACCCTAATACTAGTTCAAGTATCAAAATTCTCCCTTGTGGGTCTACAAATTTTTTTACTGCCTTAATTTCTTTTTTAACATATACCGCTATCCCTTTCTGTTTTTGATCTTCCTAATTTAGGATATTCTAAACATTTCCAAAATTGTTTTTTAATATGGACTTCTTGCAGGCATACTATTTCTAATTTCTGTTTGGCTAATCTAGATAGTATCTGTTTTCTTTTAATGGGTGAGTTTAGACCACTTATGTTTAATGATAATAGCTTCGTTTCTGTCTTTCTGCTTGTGGGATATTATCTGTCTTCTGTTAATTCTAGTCTCTCTTTGTGGGCGTGTCTCCTTCTTGTTCTAGGCCTCCTATATCTTGCTGTTGTTGTTCTTGGCTTTCTGTCTCTAGCTCCTCTCTACCACTGCTTTCTTCTTTGGTTCCTCCAATCTGCTCATAGAAATCTTGCACCTTGTCTAAGTTATCTATCCTGATCCTCTTTTCCTGCCATATTACCAACAAGCCTTCTGGAATTAACTGTCAAAACATTATGTTCTTCTGGATAAGTTGTGTTGCCAAAAACTTATAGTTTTTTTCTCTGTTCATGCACCTTCTTGGGAACCTGCTTCAGGGTTTGCACTTCTTTATCTTTATAAACCAACAGTTCGTCTTATATATTATGACACGTACTTGTTTCCTGCCAAATTGCATGTGGACTTCCCTGAGTAACCTGTTACGTAACTCTTTTGAACTCTATAGGCTTGTCAATTTCTAGCAGGATCTCTTGGGTCTCCCTTTGTAAAGCTGGCGCAAGTAATTCTGCCATAAGCACATTCAGATCTTCATCTCTACTTTCAATGATATTTTAAAACCTCAAGTAATAGGCAGCGCATTCCATCTCTAGGTGGATAATCTGTTCTTCTAATCTTTTGTTTATTGTCATCATCCTGTTGTCCATTAGTTCCACTTTCTTTTCATTTTGTACTGTTCTAAGTTCCACCTCTTCTAGTTTCTGCTCATTCTTTTGCATTGTTTGCTGTATAGTATCAACTTTGTCTTCTAATTTATTAATATTGCCTTTCAATTCCATATGATTTTGTGAAATATCTCTTGCATTTTTATCTGTCCTTGCATTTTAAGCATGGTTTCCTGAATGGTCATTAACAAAGCCTGTATTGTTTGCATATTGGCTACAGTTTGTTTTTCTGCCCCTGGCATTCCCTCAGTTGCCTTTTGACCAGCCGGTGATGTAATTGTCAATGTTGGACTAGATGTTGTCTTCTTTGCCGTTCTCCAGGCTGATGTCATGGCACTTATCTTATTTTCAATTTATTTCTACCTATTTTATTATCTCCTTTACAATATATTTTAAACTAATCTCTTACTTTCAATTTATTCCTTCTTCTTTTCCAATCTCTTTATTGTAATTTTATAGAATTAGCACCACTTGTTATCCCGTTCTCTATCTCAAAGTCAATATCACTATATATCTAACAATATCCTACTCAGACAAAGCCCTCCTGCCTTTCCTTATGCACAAAGTATTAAATTTATTCTTTTTTTTCTTTTATCTATAATAAAAGGGGGAATCTAATTTCCGTTTATATATAATCACCTAAATATACACTCCCCTTAATCTCTTAATATTGTAATCAAAAGTTATTTATCACTATATTTCCTTAGTTCAATACTTAATCAAAGTAATTATAACCTCAAATATCACCCCAATAGAGAAGGAAAGACAAAAAAGAGCCCCTTTTAGTTTCTTAAGGGATCCAGCTATTTTCTAAAGCATCTGTAGGCCAGACAAGGAATAATGGATGGAAACTGAACAAGGAGAGATTCAACCTAGAAATAAAGATAAATTTTCTGACTGTGAGAACAATCAATCAATGGAACAGCTTGCCTTCCTTTGTGGGAGCTTCATCATTTGAGACTTTCAAAAAGCTGCCCTTTTTTGAATTAACTGAACCAGTCGCACTATTTTCACAATGAGCAAAAAAAATTTAGCAACAGGTTCTCTGTCTGGTTGCTGGATGGGCATGGCCTAGTCGGTGTCCTGCACCATGGTGGGGGGACGTTTTTGCCCTCCCTGGGCTCTGAAGGCTTTCCTCGAGCCTCCGTGAGGGCGAAAACAGCCTCCCTGGGTTCCGGAGACTCTCTGGAAGCCAGTAATAGGCCCATTTCTGGCCTTCCCAAACTTCCAGGAGGCCCATTTTTTGCCCTCCACGAATTTGCATGTGCACCCTGCACTTACCTGCATCCAAAACAGGCCGCGAGGGACTCCTGGGAGAGGAGGAGAAGGTGGGTGGGGCCAGCCAGGAGTGGGATTTGAGGGTTCTCTGAACTGCACAGAATCTTAGCTAGGGGCTCTCCCAAACCCCTGCAAACCCCTAGCAGCCCACCCCTGTATGTATGTGAATATAGAATGTAGTGAATATGAATGAAAACATAGTCCACATGTAATAACTGAAAGGGAGATTATTAATGGTGCAAGATTGTTTATTCATGTCAGATTATAGTCAGTATATAAGTCTAACATGGTAAAAAGGAACCAGCTACATTATGTAGCCAGACCAAGAAATCAACTCCACAGGAAGACTAAAACTACTTTTATTAAGATTGGTTGTTGTAGTAGAATCTTGCATGTCTGATTACACTTTACTTCCTGCCATTTTTATACTCATGTGCATTAGAAAAATGTCTATCAGACCAACTTCCACATCCCTTCATCATGTTTTGTACCTAAAACATGTTTTTTCTCCATTGGTAACAGATTTTGCCTAACTCCATCAAACTTTTTTGCCTTCTACAAAAGTCCTCTAAGTCATCAAAGCAATGATCATGCCCAGTCCAAAAATATCTGCTAATTACATACCAGTCCTTTAGGATATATATCTGGAGCAGTGGCGGGATTCAAATATTTTTACTACCGATTCTGTGGGCGTGGCTTGGTGAGCGTGGCAGGTGAAGGATACTGTAAAATCTCCAGTCAAAGGTGGTATTTGCTGGTTCTGTGAACTACTCAAAATTTTCACTACCAGTTCTCCAGAACCTGCTAAATACTTTCTACTTTCTAGTGTAACTTCTTTATTTCCTTCCTGTATTTTAAAATCATTGTTTTGGGGGAAGGGGATATTTCTGTTGGAAAGAGAGGAAAACATGGAGTGATTTTGTGTGTAACTGTGCACACATACTTATATACATGATAATGGATGATGGATAAAAAGCCCTATATATGTTTATGAGGGAATAATTTTATAAATGGGATACTTTATTTTAATCAGTAGCTTGTCATTTCGATTAATTAACTATTTTGTTTTGTCTGTTTGCAAAGAGTAGTATCTGATACATATTGATACATATAGCTGATACATTTACATGTGCACACAACTGTATACATACCTTCACCACTACGTCATCACACATACGTATTTAGGGTAAAAGATTCTCCAGGAGTTGGGAATCCTAAACTGACAAGCTGGAGATAATGGACATTGCATAGGATTTTGATCCATGTTTATACACACACACACACACACACACACACACACACACACATTGCATTATTTCTTTGGGGAGTGGACTATCTCCCAATTCAGTATCATCCTCTCTTTTGAATAAATCCTGTATATTGCTAAAGAGGTTTTCAGAGTACTAGAAAGATACTATGATCTTTTTGATCAACTGAATTGAAGCATTTCAGGATTTGATTGTTTCCTGTTATGTCCCTGGAACTTAAAGAAGTTCCCACCCAGGTCCGTTCATGATACGGGGGCGGTTGCCCTCTCTCCCATTGGTTGGTTCTCCCCAGCAGCCAGCTATAAAAGCAGGCTGCGGGGTCCAACCAGTGGCTGATCGCTGCGAGCCAGTTCCAGGCTTGGCAAGCACGTTCAGTCCTTTATTATTCTAATAAAGTATTTGTTGCATCCATGCCCTGGTTCAGCCTCTCATTTCCCGAACTTAACACTGGCGACGAGGATGGGATGGCGACCAGAGGCACAATGCAACCGCTGAATCACTAGCCGCTGATCCGCAGCCAGAGAGAACGATCAGCAGGCAATAAGAGCAAACACTGATCCGCAGCTAGAGAGAGCGGTCAGCAAGCAGCGAGAGTGAGAAGCGTCTGTAGCCGCTTGTTAGCCAAGCTACAGGGAAAGTGAAGCGCTGCGAGCCGCAGCCGCTCGTTTCTTTAGGCGCGAAATTCAAACGGCTGTCATTTGAATTTCCGCCCTAGAAGTACAGCGCGGTGCTGTATTACAAAGTCACTGACGCCCACGCAGGCGCGAATTTCAAAACGCTGCCAACGACCGTTGCAGCCTAACCTCGTGTTAACCCAGAGAGAGAGAGAGAGTTGTGAAAAGCCTCTCCAGAGCTGAAGTCACTTGCCTGCCACAGGCACAAAAACCTTCCTGCTGTTGCTCCAGAGAGATTTTCTCAACAGATTATTCCAACCTGATTTTTTTTTTTCATCATGAACTCCAACCCGGTTTTCCCAGCGTTCAAGCCGGATGAGGAGAAGTGGGAGTCATACAAGAATCGCTTTAACCATTACATCGACGCAATTGGGTTGGCTGATGCAGGGGAGCACCGGAAAAAATCATATTTCCTGATCTACTGTGGAGCCATCGTCTTTGATACTGCCACAGCACTCGTGGCTCCACGTGAGTTAAAAAACGTTCCCTGGACAGAACTGTTAGAAATCCTTACTAACCACTATTCTCCTAGACCCTCACAGATTGCCAGGCGGTTCACTTTCCGAATGAGGAAGCAATCAGACAAAGAGACCATCAACCAGTACATGGCTGCCCTCAGAACTGCAGCTCTTCATTGTGGGTTTGGGACCTACCTGGAGGACATGCTCCTCGACCAGCTAGTCTGCGGGGTCAAGGATCTTCACCTCCAAAGGCGCCTACTCGCTAGAAAGGACTTCAACCTCGCTCAAGCCATCGAGGAAGCCCTGGCAGCGGAGCTGGCAGCACACTCAGCCACCGAGATCCAAGGTCCTGTTTCCAAACAAATTGCAGTTTCCGTCCACTCTGAAGAGGTGGTCATCGAAGAGGACCCCAGCGATGCAGCCGACATCCACCGCCTAGCCCACGCCAGACACCCGCAGGTAGGAGCCAAGCAAGAAAGCGTCAGTCCACCCAAGCACATCACCCTGTGCCTATCCTGTGGTGGATCTCACCTGAGGACCACCTGCAAATTCAAGGGAGCCACTTGCAACATTTGCCACAAAAAGGGGCACATCGCTAGAGTCTGCCAGGCTGCTCACAACTCGGCACAAAGGCACCCCTCCTTTTCACATTCGGGACCCCAAAGGCAAGTATTGAACTGTCACACTCGCCACCATGCTAAGCACGCTTGCCATGCCATTAGTAAAATTTCTCTCTCCGTTTTGTTAGAAGGTAGACCTTGTCGCATGGAGGTTGACACGGGGTCAGCGCTCTCAATTATCTCTTGGAGCACCATCAAGAGACTACAGCCCAATCTATCCAGAACCCGGCTCCAGAAGTGCCAGTTTAGCCTGAAGGACTACCAGGGGAAGGACATTCCTGTAATCGGCAGAGGCAAGTTTCTTGTCAATTTTAGAACTTTCAAAGGCCACCTACCTCTAGTGGTAGTTAACGGCAACCTACCCACACTCTTGGGGCTTGATTGGTTCCCCCATCTCGGCCTAGGGTTAACAGGAGTCCATGCTGTCTCAACCTCAGACACTGACTCCTTATTCGCTGACTACTCAGACGTATTCAGCAATGAACTGGGGTGTTATAACGGTACCCCTATCTCATTCTCAGTCGACCCCCAAGCAGTCCCAATCAGGCTAAAACCTCGTAGAGTCCCATTCGCTATTCGGCCTAAATTAGATGCGGAACTGGATAAATTATTAAAACAAGGGGTCATTGAGCCAACAGATTTCGCCAAATGGGAGACGCCCATTGTCACACCCCTCAAAAAAGATGGTAGCCTGAGAATTTGCTCGGACTACAAAACCACAATTAATAAATTTTTACAAGTTAGCGCTTACCCAGTGCCCGTCATTCAGCACTTATTACACACTTTTGAACCTGGCAGCATTTTTGCCAAATTGGACATGTCTCAAGCGTATCAACAGTTCCCTGTTGACAACCAAACAGCGGAACTCCAGACCATCGTCACCCACAGGGGTGCTTTCCGGTGCAAGCATCTCCAATTTGGTGTAAGTGTTGCCCCGGGCATTTTTCAATCCCTCATGGAGCGGATTTTGCAGGGCCTCCCTGGTGTAGTACCCTACTTCGATGACATCTTAGTCTCGGCCAGGGACAGACCCCAACTCTTCCAGAGAGTTCGAGCAGTGTTAGAGAGGTTCAGACAGCATGGCCTCAAATTAAAAAAAGAAAAATGTGCCATTGCCACTAGACAGGTGGACTTTCTGGGTTATAAAATTGACGCCTCAGGCATTCACCCCCTGGAGTCCAAGGTTAAGGCAATTCACGAGGCACCCACTCCAACCTCCAAAGCGGAACTACAGGCCTTCTTGGGGCTATTGAATTTTTACGCGTCGTTCCTGCCCCATAAAGCATCTGTGGCGGAACCCCTACACAGACTTTTGGATAAAAAATCGCCTTGGCATTGGGGACACAAGGAAGACTCCGCTTTTCACACAGTCAAATCACTACTCACGTCGGAGGCGGTCCTTATTCAGTTTGACCCCAACCTTCCATTAGTGCTAGCAGCGGACGCATCCCCCTTTGGAATTGGGGCAGTGTTAAGCCACAGGCTCCCCAATGGCTCCGAGGCCCCCATCGCTTTTTTTTCCAGGACGCTTTCTGCAACAGAGCACAACTATAGTCAAATCGATAAGGAAGCTTTAGCAGCTGTCGCAGCTGTGAAGAAATTCCATGAATTTCTTTTTCGCCACTTTTTCGAGCTGGTCACGGATCATAAGCCTCTCCTGGGCCTACTAGCAGGTGACAAACAGACCCCTCAAGTCCTGTCTCCTAGAATGATGAGGTGGACTCTTTTCCTAGCAGCATACTCGTATAGACTCATACACCGTCCAGGTAAAACGTTGTCTCACGCAGACGCCCTCAGCCGCTGCCCCCTACCTGCTCCAGCTGAGGACCTGGCCCCGGTCCACGCTATCTTTGAGGTCACCCAAATGGACCTCCCCATCACTGCCCTTGACATTGCAGCCAAATCCAAGGCAGACAAAACAATCGCCCAGGTACTGGACTGGGTGAGGAGGGGGTGGCCGGGCAGTGATGTTGAAACCAAATTCACACCTTTTAAGACCCGCCTACAGGAGTTATCCAGTTTGCAGGGCTGTTTGCTGTGGGGCACACGAGTGGTCATCCCGACCTCGCTGCGTACCAGAGTTTTGGAGGCGTTGCACGAGGGCCACCCTGGCATCGTCAGAATGAAGGCATTAGCACGCAGCTACGTATGGTGGCCCGGCCTCGACGATGACATCAGCAGATGGGTAAGCTCCTGCCATCCCTGCCAGGAATCCCGTCCATCCCCTCCAATTGCCACCCCCACCAAGTGGGAAAGCGCCAGCGCACCCTGGTCCAGGATTCACATCGACCTAGCAGGCCCGACACATGGCAAAATGTTCCTGGTGGTCGTGGACTCTTACTCTAAATGGATTGACGTGGCACAACTGTCCACAACCACCATGCAAGCGGTCACCAAGGTATTAACTCGCCTATTCGTAACGCACGGGCTACCTGACTCAATTGTTTCCGACAATGGCCCCCAGTTCGCATCGGCTGAGTTCAGTCGCTTCGCTGCCAATCTGGGCATCCGCCACATCTTCACGGCTCCCTTTCATCCTGCCAGTAACGGGTTGGCAGAAAGAGCCGTTAGGACCACTAAAGAGGCTCTGGCTAGGTTCAGCAAGGATGACTGGCACCACAAACTCTCCCGTTTCTTGCTGAGCCAGCACTCAACCCCGTGCACAGTCACTAATAAGTCCCCGGCTGAACTCCTGATGGGTAGACGCCTGCGGACTGTATTGGACAGGCTGCACCCACATTACTGCCCTGACGCTCCCCTCGCTTCCACATCGGGGGTTAGGCATTTTGTCTTACAGGAACCCGTGTTCGCGAGGAACTTCGCTGGAGACCCTCTGTGGATCCCGGGCGAGGTCGTGGCCATCACCGAACCCAGGTCATATAGAGTCAGACTGGAGGATGGCCGGATCTGGAGAAGGCACCTGGATCAGCCGCGAAAGCGCCAAGACATGCACGTTAGCAGTGACTCATGGTTGCAGACCGGTGCAGAGCTACAGCATCAACCCCACATCAGCACCAATTCCAGGGACCAGCTCACGCCTGCAGCTGAGTCGGGGACCCCGAATACGACCCGTGACCACCTGATGGCTGACCAGTCCGAACCAGCCAACGGAAACACCTCCTCAACGATCAGCCCTACAAGCCCCGATCCGGCACTGACCGAGGAACGCGCTCGTGACACCACACCGGTCCAACCTTCAGTTGCAGACTCCGATCTACCAGACAATTCCCCAGAGTTGCGCCGTTCTGGGCGCCAGCACAAGCCTCCCGCGTACCTTAAAGACTATGCGTGTTCGCATCTGGGGGGAAGGGGTGTTATGTCCCTGGAACTTAAAGAAGTTCCCACCCAGGTCCGTTCGTGATACGGGGGCGGTTGCCCTCTCTCCCATTGGTTGGTTCTCCCCAGCAGCCAGCTATAAAAGCAGGCTGCGGGGTCCAACCAGTGGCTGATCGCTGCGAGCCAGTTCCAGGCTTGGCAAGCACGTTCAGTCCTTTATTATTCTAATAAAGTATTTGTTGCATCCATGCCCTGGTTCAGCCTCTCATTTCCCGAACTTAACACTTCCCACAATGGGATTCTCTCAATTAGATAATAGATTCGTCTTTTTAGGTTAATTAATGGTTAGCATTTCTATGTACCGATTTCTATCATCACCTTTTCAGATAATGATAGCAAATCTTTTGGGTTCAGCATATCAAAAATTTAAACAATACCTAACTTTTCTGCTGGCATGTCTTTTCTACTCTGAAAAATAGAAAAAAAACATAGTTATATATGCACTCTTTTTTAAAAAATACAGTCCAATCATGAGTGTTACTATGTATTATATAAAGAAAGATTAAATAATCACAAAAATAAAATATGAGCTAAACAAATTCATTTTTGGATGCTCTGGAGATCACGCAAGACTACAGCCTCTCGTGCAATTTCTGGAAACTCTGGAGGACACATAACAGCATACCCATTCTCACAAGGCATTTGCAGCCTCCAAAAATTATGTAAGAACAAGGTGTGTTTTAGAGCAGCAGTTGCCAACTGGTGGGCCTTGAGAAAATGTTGGTGGGCCGCAGAGAAATCTCACCCCCAGAGCACCCCCACAAAGCAATTAATCCAGGCTGCGCAGAAACACAAGGCTGCGCCGCCCACATGGCCCACAGCAACCCTCCCCACCCACTCACTCCTTACCCAGTAAACTTGCCTGCTAAGTTTCTATTTTTCCTTTTTCCAACCATCATCTGTTCTGCTGTGCCGGGAGATTTTGGGTAAAAGTTGCTCTTTTTTTATAAAAAATTCAAAATACAAGCCATGCTCAGCCAGTCAAATGACCACCAAGCCACACCCACAAATTAGGCCATGCCCACAGAACCAGTTAGTGGTCCCTGGGATCTAAAATTATGAGTTTGGTGGTCCCTGAGGTCCAAAAGGTTGGCGACCCCTGCTTTAGAGAATAGTTATTGTTGGTTGTTATTGAATGCTGGTGTGTCACCCAAAACATGGTGTATTACTTTTGACATACATGTCCTAGGTTCACAATTACTGAAGTCTTGTAGATGCCAACAACTTCTTGGGAGAAATTAGCTTTATCTGAAATAACAGAAGTAGTATATTTCCTTTTTAAGGAAAAAGGAAGCATAATTAATAATAATGCTCTGAACAATGCAATATCTATTTATTTCATATTTACTGCCAAATCATACAGTTCCTGGTAATTTACTTTTATTAAACTATAATATAACAAAGTTAATAACCACAGCAAAATTAATCCAAAAGAAAAAAAAAATGGTCAGCATCAACTCTTAAATATTTTGCTGAACAATTCTTTCCTGACAGCGTTTTGAAAGGCCCCTGAATTGATGTCTGTCAGATGTATGGAGGAAGACTATTCCATAAAATAGTGACTGTTTCTGAGCCCCACAGATCTTACCCCTCATAGGTCAGAACTTTTAATAACCTTAAATGAGACGAGGCACCTGGATAATCAATTCTCCTTGTAATAAATAGCAATGAAGCCACTCAGAACTGTAAAGATTAGAACTAATATTTTGAAGTGCATCCAGAAACCAGATGGAAGATTTTGCAGATCCCAATAGGGCAATTATCAGGTGGCATAGTGGCTTTCGCTCACTAGCATAAGGGCAACTCTTGTCCTGCTTTACAAAGTAGACCACAATATAGCTTTTGTTCATTACAATTTGGGAGGGGGCTTTTGGTTTAGCTGACTTTATTGCAATATAGAAAGTGTGACATTCCATCTAAATAAGCTACACAAATACTCGGGATAATTGAGCCTTTAAAAAAGAAGTTTGCTGCTTTTTTCCTTTTCCTCTTCCTCTTCCTCCTCCTCCTCTGTTTTCAACATATCTTAGAAATGCTGGCATCTAGACACCATTTATGAGTCTGATATTTCACTATTTCCCTGTGATCTGACTATGTGTGTGTGTGCGCGAGTATCATAATTGAAAAATACTTGCTACTAGAGGAAAAGATTCACTTAAACATTTTCTTTTTCAATCATTACTATAGAAAAAAGGGGGGGAATTCTTCTAAAAACACTTTGCCTAAATATCCAAGTTAAAAGCTATCACTGAAAAGTTATCTGACTTAAATTTGAAACAAGAGAAAACTGAAGATTTTGGAGAAAATTGAATTTTAGGTACCTTGTCTATTTTTCCTCCCTCATGTCCCTTTCCTGCTTTTTCTACAGCAGATACTAGTTTTTTTTCCCAAAAATAATATTAAATCAATTCATTTTATAGGTGATGAAAACTATAGATAGATGCAACATGGAGAATAGAATACCTAACTGACAACAGTTATGAGGATAATACTTGTAGGAAAGAGAATAGGAATGAAGACATAAGATTGCAATTCAAAATATTTGTTATCATCATGAAAGTAAAGAAGCTATGCAGCAATGGATGTCAAAGTTCTCAGGAACTTTGGAGTTAAATATGTGGCAATCTCTTTTCCACAGAAGAATGTTTGCCTAGAGGAATACTAGCAGCCTTTCACATATATTCCCTAGAGCGGAAGATAAACTGAGCTGCATCTACACTGATTACTGGGTTTGTAAATTGTAAGGGAAGAGCATTCCCTATCATCTCAATTAATTCTCTTGGCATGCAGCTTTGGCTCCAGAAGCAATGCCTGGAGATACGCTGTCAGGTATCCAAGCAAATTATTTTTTTCTTTTAAATTTATATTTTTGCATAAAGTACTTATTTTTATTGGTTGAAGCATCCTATAGAAGACAAATTAGTGTTAAAAGATCTGTATAATTCCCATCTGACACTTAAGTCAGAATTCCCTTGCGACAGCTCTGGAATCTTCCTCTTTGCCTATGACTATTTGATTAAGAACAAAAAACATTACCCTGTTGCTGCCAGACATCTGTATTTGTTTCTTTGCTGTAAAGCATTTGGGAAATGAGTAAAAATGAGCAGAATATGACAAATCCAGGCCCACATACAAGTCAAGTTAAATTCCAGAAAAGAAAGTTGTCTGGAAGCAACTATTACTACATGAGTGAGAGGGAATAAGCTTATGGACTGAAATTAGAATTGTGAAGCATTTTTTTTACAATTTGTTCTTTAACTGATAGTTACAACCATTCTAAACTCAAACAAACATTATATTTTCAGAGGTTGTAAAAAATAACAACCCCATGTCTTGCTTACGATTGTTTAGAACTGAGAGCAATAAAGGAACATACACTTCTATATCTGCCTTTAGTCTTCTACCTTTATAGGCTTTTCTTGCTTGTTTCATAATTTTTTCTGTACATTGCAATCAATGGTAAGTAATTTGTAACAGTTTCAGGTCTAGTCTAAACATTTCTTGGCTTGTGAGCTTAATAAACTGCTGGGAGGATTCAAATACAACAGGTTTCCAATTCTCTTGGCTAGACTCCCTCCCATCTAAACCCCATCATAATTCTTTGTTAATCTTCTAACTAGTCTTTGGCGAGATTCCAATATATTGAGAAGCTAGTCTCAGAAAAGAATGGGTTTGGCAGAAGAGAATTTCCTACATTTGTTTTTTGTTTTCCTTATCTCTCGCCAAACTTAGAGGGGAAAATTGAAGAAGTCCATGACCTTTGGTGTAAAAAAGCTAATCTAGGATTCCCCCCCTCTCTTCCTCCCTTCCTCCCTCCCTCCCTCCCTCCATCCATCCATCCATCCATCCATCCATCTATCTATCTATCTATCTATCTATAATATAAACTTTTATGCAGTTTATGACAGAAACAATTTGTGATCAATGTAATTATGCCAGTGTCTGTTTATTTGCATGCTTTATATCTTGTATAATGTGGCTATCAAGGGTAAAGTCTATGTGTTAATCATATACCTATATAGTTTCAGAAATCTCACTAAATATTGTCCACATATTTCCAAAGGTATTTTCAAAATAGTTTTTTTGAAACAACAAAAAAGATTGAGCACTATGCATCAGTTAAAAACGTATCTTAAATAGTTACATTTTCTAAAACGAAGGTGTAAAATTACTGTAAAATCCTCTGGTTTGGGGCCTTTTACGTAGTTCTATATCTAAAATGGAAGATATTATGACACAAACATTCAGTACTGTCTTTATGCTCATTAACATAGAAAAGGGTAAACTAGAAACTGTGGGTCTTCCTTATGTCTGAGTTAAAGCATGCTGCCATTATAAAGCAGCAGGGGTTCACGTAAAAAAAATGAATAGGAAACAGCCTTAGCTACATAGCTTGCAAAACCTTGGAGAATCACAGCTAGTGGCAATAGTATTGTGGTGACTCCACTGTTAGCTGGGGAGAGAGTAAGCATCACATTGATGGTTGGCAACAGTTAGAAGGATATATCTGTGGAAATGCAGAATGTCAGTGTTTGTCCATGGATATGCTAATATCAGCAGAAGACAAAAATATGCACACATTTGTGTATCTCAAAGGTGGAAAAGCTTCTAGATGTGGATTTAGTATTTGCAGTGGCATGCAGTGTTTTTGTGCCTGGGGCAACTCCAATTTTTTTTTCCAACCTGCAGGCATTGATTCTAGGCAGTGATTTCAGATGATCTGGCAACAATTTGTTCTTTACATATCATTTGGTGGTGGGTCAGGGTTAAGGGTGGATTTCAAATTTGGCAGAGATTGATTTTTATTTTGCTCTTAAGCCTTCTTGAAACAGGAGCCTTTCTTAGGTATCCAGCTTTTAGGAAGTTGGGTGCTTTACCATTAAGTGCTATACCCGCCATCAAAATCAGGAAATTGCATCTCCATTCCTCTTTCTAATGCAGATCATTATTAGAAATTCTGAAGATAAACTATCTATGAGTCAAAAGAAAGAATAAATGTGTGTTTGTGTCCCACTTACCCAAGATTTATTCATGTCAGACCTGTTTACTGGTACAAATTAAAATTATTGTCCATCTTTCAATGTGACTTTTCAGGCAAAGAGTGCAGCTTAGCCCTGTTGACACTGTGTATAGGTTTGAGATTATGACACAATAATCATGGACTGAATTTGATGTTAGAAAGACATTCATATGAAATTCTTTGAAATTTATCCCACAAGTGTCAGCATGAAAATACTGCTGTGATGAGCAAAATGATACTATGTTTTTGGCATCTGGATATTTGTCCAGTGGTATGCCACATAATAAAAAGAGCAATGACGACAAGGTTTTTCTTCAGCTTGCATTCCCATTTATTGCTCTCCCTTAATTTATTTTATATTAGTATTTTTTTTACATTGATTAAAAGTGAGAGGAGCATTACAGAATAAATGATAATTGGTTTTAATTGGGAATAGAGTTTGTAAGTTAATACCCCACCCACCCACCCCGTAATTCCAGTCAACTCTGGCTTCTATTGATTGTTATTCACTTTCACTCATAGAGCTGAGATATAGTTTGCAACTAAGCCACATGAACTGTTATGAAGCCACATGAACATATATGTTGACCCCTAAATATAATTTGGATATATTTTGTAGAATCAGAGTTGGGGAATATTTGCTGTTCCAGATGTTGCTGAGTGACAATTCCAGGCATCATTCCCCATGATGTAAAAGATTTTCATCATGACATATACTAGGTTGTATGTGTGAATGAAATTATGAAAAGTTTTGATACTTAACTGGCCACTGTATTTGAATTTTCTGTCAGAGACATGGAGAAATCCAAGCCATTTCCTTCTTCCATGGTCATGGATTAAAAAAAAAAAACAAGATGGTAGGTGGTGACCACACAATTGAAATCTATAATGCATGTAAATAAGTGGCAGACTTTCATTGTGCAGTTGTTTCTATAATCTTGACTTCTTTGACCTCCTCATGCATGTCTATATCTGCTTTCTTTTAAGGCTATGAGTCCTAATAATAATTAAACAAGACTACATGAAAATAAAATACAGTATCTTTGCAAAAAATGAGCAAGATATACTTTACATGTTTTTAAGTTTAAAAAATAATCAAGTGTTTAAATCTGAAGTTTTCTTTAAACTTGAGATCAAGAATAAGTGAATTTCTAGAACCCCATTAATGCTGATCCTTGCTCTATTCTTTAATATTATTAAAACATGCTGATTTCTGACCATCTAATTTTATAGAATGCTATCTAATTAGTATATGCTGGTTAGGTTTTTTCTATTGGTAATCTGTGGGTAGAGACTTTGTATACACTATAGCTTTTCTACTATATTGGTGGCTACTTTAAAAAAATAAATCTAAAATTTTTAATTTTACTGTGTATTTTTTTCTTTGTATTTAACGGTTAGGGTTAGGGTATGGAATAGACTGGGCATATTTTGTCAATTATATTACTTCTATGACTATGGCTGAACACCAACTTAAGGACAGGGCTTCATCAACCTAAAATTTATGATGTTTTGGAAAATCTGTCTTTAGAATTTAATCAATCAGTTATTAATGTTTTTAGTAGCCAGCCAGCTAGATTATGTGCCACCAAGTCATATGTGACTCCACATGACCACATACATTGATTTTCTCCATGATGATCTATCTATAATTTGGTCTTTCAGGTCTTTAAACTATGCTCTCACCACCACTCTAACTAAATCCATCCATCTTGCTACTAGTCATCCTCTTTTCTTCCCTTCTATCTTTCATAGCATTAGAGCAATTTCCAAAAAGCAGAGTTTTTCTATAATGGTTCTGAAATAGGGTAATTGGAGCCTGGTGAGAACTCTGGATTGCTTTATTCAATGATCCATCAGTTTGTTTTTTGGCTGTCCATGATATGCTGAGGAATCTCCTCTAACACAAAAGTTCAAAGGATCAATATTCTTCCTATCCTTCTTCTTCAGAGTCCCAACTTTCACTTTAATAAAATACTAGTGTAGCTACAGACTGATTGCTGAGAATCTTTGTATAGGATTATAGGAACTGTTTTCTTGGGAACAGTAATGCCTAATAATTAAGTAAAATAAAATGAATGAAGATGATTAATCTTCCAGAGAAAAATACCTATTCATAATGGAGAGCATCAAAGAAGCAGGAAATAGCTAGCTCCAAAGTATGAAATACAGCCTGCTTTACTAGCAGACTTTTATATGAAGCATATACTGAAAAATAAACTCCTGATCTAATGTTAAAAGAGATTAAAGATTATAAATTATTCCACAAGGAGCAACTTGAGGACTGCTCCTCGCAGGAAGTAACTTATCACATTTGATCTCAAAGGATAGATGGCCTTTATTTTCCCAGAACAGCTTGGGAATACATCATCTGCTTACATTTCTGTGCTGCCAAAGCTGCAGAAAATATCTCTGAACGTAGCAAAACATACATTACTTCTTTCAAATTCTTAACCAGGATTGGATTAAATAAGGAAACCAGGAAAATATTTGGAGCTTTTCTGAGAAAAGAAGCACATCACTACTGAAATTACAATCGTTCACTTGATTTATTTCCAAAAAGAGAAAATACACATCTTTCCTCTTCATTTCTTTGGTGAATGACCATCTTTTTTTCTCCTTATGTTTTGATGGTACATTTCCTGTGAAATGATTTTCTTGGATATGCAATTACTCTAGGTAAGCAAATGAAGAGAAACTCAACAAATTATTTATTTAAAGAACAGTTTGTGGGGTTGAAAAGTTTTGAAACTTGTGTTTATTCCAGACAAAATAATGTGCATGGTTCAAGGAAACCAAAACACTACTTTTACAGGAAGTTTCAAAGTGACTCCTACTAGCATTCTGATGCTGATAAATGGTACCTTTCCCTGAGCCTTGTTATAAAATTTGGAGAAAAGATCAACAATGCCATATACATTGGGGAGGGAGGGGGTTGTTTGGGATTCCCAGAGAAATACCTAAATTGTTTCACTGCATGCTCAAAATTAATGTTGAAGAGTTCTATGGACCTTTCAAGACCCCCTGGAAATATTTAATCAATTAACTAATCAAACTCAAGGCCCATGGGCCGGATGTAGCCCACAGGACTGTCCTGGTCTATCCAATGCAAAGAGGAAAGATCGGCCCAGTCTATCCAGTGTGAAGAAAGATCTGCCAGTGTAACTTCTGCCTGGTCTACCCAGAGCGAAGAGGAAACATGCCAACAATTTGGGGAGGGGCATCAAGCTGGCCATGCCCATCCAGTTGGCATGCCCACTTGGCCCCCAAGATCAACCACAGTCCTGATGCAGCCCTCAATGAAATTGAGTTTGACATCCCTGAATAGAAAAATGCAGTGACTAACAGAGCTGGTACAGGCCATTATACCATCTGAGGAAAAGTTGAAATGGTGTGAACTCCATTTCAAGCAGAGAGGTCAATCTGACACACACATTACTTGCATTTTACATCCTTTTACATCCTTATTCAGTTTGGTAAAATAGATTTGGAGATGCAGATTAGGGCTGCTTTCTTAAAACAGCCTAATCATTTTGCCTTCTAATCCAATGATCCCTGCTGAATCATAATTATTGTTGTAAATAGACATTTGCATACTCGTGAAATGGAAGTGGACTCTGGCTCATATCTGTCAATGGTATCATGGAACACAATAAAAAACTTGATACCAGACATACGATGAAAAGAACTTGAAGAGCAAAGCCTGACGTTAAAAGACTACCAAAGAAACAAGATTCCGGTAGTTAGACTGGGACATTTCAAGATAAAATTCAAGAAACACACTAAAGTTCTTCCATTGATCATCATCGACCGAGACCGCCCCAGCCTGCTTGGTTTAGAATGGTTTACTCCTTTGGGGATCGAAGTAACAGGAATCAACAGCGTCACTGAGACAGACTGGGAAGAAAGCCTGAAGAAAGGAGTTCCAGGACATATTTGACGGGATGCTAGGCAAGTACCGTGGGACCCCTATCTCACTTAGCCTAAACCCGAACATAGCCCCCATCCAGCTAAAGGCCAGACACCTCCCCTTTGTGTTAAAGCCAAAAATTGATGAGCAGCTGAACAAACTCATCGCACAAGGGATGCTAGAGCCAATCGACCATGCAAGATGGGAAACCCTGATTGTGACTCCTGTGAAACCAGATGGGTCTGTGTGCATCTGTGGTGACTATAAGGCCACCCTGAACCACACATTACAGCAGAGCGCATACCCCATTCCAGTAGTTCAGCACCTCTTGCACTCGTTGCGGGGAAAAGTTTTTGCAAAGCTCGATCTCACGCAGGCATATCAACAATTGCTGGTTGATCCCGAGATAGCAGCGGCACAGACTATTGTAACACATAGGGGGGCATTTAAATACAACAGATTGCAATTTGGTGTCAGCGTGGCCCCCGGCGTTTTCCAAAGCTTGATGGAACGCCTCCTCCAAGGACTAAAAGGGGTGGTTCCCTATTTTGATGATGTATTAATATCTGCCAGAAATAAAAAAACAACTAAAGGACCGGCTAAGGGCAGTCTTGCAAAGGTTTAGAGAAGCAGGACTCAAGGTCAAAAAAGAAAAATGCCAACTTGCCACAAATCAGGTCGAGTTCCTAGGATATCTTATTGATGAAGCAGGAATCCACCACACCAGAAAAAAAATATGAGTGATAAAAGAAGCACCCAGACCCAAAAACAAAACAGACTTGCAGGCATTCTTGGGACTCATTAATTTTTATAATGTCTTTTTGCTGCAGAAGGCAACAATAGTGGAACCACTGCATAGACCACTCGATAAAAAAGCCATCTGGCAATGGGGCCGACAAGAAGAAGCTGCATTCCAAAGAATTAAGGACTTAATAACATCCAAATCTGTATTAATCCAATACAGTGACACACTACCACTGACTGTCACCTGTGACGCTTCACCATTTGGCGTAGGCGCAATACTTAGCCACACATTACCTGATGGCAGAGAGGCACCAATCGCCTTTTATTCCAAAATGCTATCAAAGCCGAAAGAAACTACAGCCAACTGGACAGAGAAGCCTTAGCTGCTATCTCGGGGGTGAAACATTTTCATGAATACTTTTATGGTAGGACATTTTCCTTAATTACCAACCACAAACCACTGTTAGGAATCCTGGCAGGAGACAGGGCCACCCCCAACATCCTGTCTCCAAAGATGACAAGATGGTTGGAATTTCTTGCAGCCTACAACTACAAGCTTGTCTATCAACCAGGAAAAGCCATACCCCACACCGACGCTCACCTCTACCAGTCCACGACAATGACCCAGGTCCCACCACATGCACCCTGCAAATTGAAACAATATTGAACCTGCCCATCACAGCATCGGACATCGCAAGGGAAACCGCAAAAGACGCACTAACGACCTGACTCTTGAATTGGGTGGGGAGGGGCTGGCCAGAAAATGACAAAAACGAGAATTTTAAACCATTCAGAACCTGGCAAACTGATCTGTCAATTGAAAAAAGATGTATATTGTGGGGGGATAGGGTTGTTGTTCCAAGAAAATTACAGGAAGACGTTCTGAACATGTTACATGAGGGACACCAGGGCATGGTAAAAATGAAGTCCCTGGCCAGAAGCTACGTCTGGGGGCCAGGAATAGAAAAAGACATTGAAACCTGGGTAAAACCATGTAATAAATGCCGGACGTCCAGACCTACCCCCCCTTTAGCACCGGTCCTTGACTGGGAGACACCCAGAGGCCCCTGGTCAAGGATCCACATAGACTTCACCGGACCCACAAAAGGATATACATTTTTAATCATCGTCGATGCCTACTCGAACTGGTTGGAGGTCAGCATCATGAGTTCAGCAAAGACTGAAGCCGTCACTAAACAACTAAAGAAACTCTTCACCACTCATGGATTACCAGACATGTTAGTCTCAGACAATGGCCCACAGTTCACAGCTTTAGCTTTTGAACAATTCCTCGCAGAACAAGGCATACGACATGCCCTGACAGCACCAGCTCATCCGGCGGCAAATGGACGGGTGGAACGCATGGTTCAATACACGAAAGAAGCATTAGAAAAACTTGAAGGGGGTGACATGCAAGACAAAATAAATACAATGCTCACAATTCAACATATAATGCCATGCACATCAACAAACAAGAGTCCGGCTGAACTTTTAATGGGTAGAAAATTGCGCTCATATTTGGACAGACTACACCCCACCTACAACCCCGAGAAGCCACCAGACTCCTCCAGTAAGTACCGCACATTTATACCAGGTGACCTGGTGTATGCGAAAAATCTTACTGGAGACCCATTGTGGCTACCGGCCACGATAACACAAATAACAGGCCCCCGGTCGTACCAATTGGAAACGACGGACGACAGAACCTGGAAAAGGCACATAGACCAACTACGATCTCGACACCTCGAATGCAACACAGACACACCCGAAACATAGAGCAAACTCATACAAAACAGCCAATAAGTAATAATAAAACCAGAGAGGGGGGGGGAACCCTTAAATAATAAAGAAAAGGAAGACCCTCCTTTAACACAATTAAAAACAGGCCACCAACCAGGAACAGAAAGCCCAAGAACAAATAAAAACTACTTACCAATAGGTGAGTTCGAAAGAAGGGAGCTGGAGGAGAACCAGGGAAGAAGCAGCCGAGCCGACTCTACCTGCCTGAAGGGAGCGGCAAAGCCCGTTCAACCAACCTAACAAAGCACGGTGGGAGGGGCATGGCTGACTCACCCTTCCAGGAGGTCCCTGAGAGAAGGACAGGAGAAACATCAATCCCGTCCGAACCGATTGAAGACAACACAGAGACTGAGCTGTGCAGGTCAAGTAGGACCCACAAAAGCCCCGCCTATTTGCATGACTACGTCACGTAAAGTTGGACCATGCCAAGAGGGGAGGGGTGTTGTATATGTCTTTGCATACTCATAATACTACGTTCTGATTGGACAATCACTACCGCCTAGCGATTGGTGGTTAACAACAGATTATGATTGGCTGCCTAAACAGCAGGAGGTTTAAAATGATGTCATTGGTTGCGAGCCGTGAGTAGCCACTATAAAAGAGGCTGCCACAGCTCGAGTTTAGTTGAAGTTACTGACAGTTAAATAAAGAGCTGAACTCAACTCTG